ACGCTGATTCATTAATTCAAAGAGACGTAATGTTGAAATCATTTTAACTTTGAGTGCCACTTTAGAAGGCTCAGCTGACCAGCTATGCGTCAATGCTAAGACTTTCACTTTCCTTGAACATGACAACCTATTTTCACAAATATATATGACTCTGCCTGGAGGACAGACGCAAGTAATCGCACGTGCTCAGTCGATCTCTCTCTGTCATTCACTGTCTGTTTAGGCTTGTTAAGTGCAAATCTACGGAGCCTCTACAAATCAGCATGGTACACATTATGTTATCATTACTAACTTGTTTAATATTCAGTCCACATGCATGGTGTAAATCAAGAAGGGCATAACCGTACGAAAAAATAAAACACAGAAAAATCGCGGTTGCTGCGGTTCTTGCATTCTTCTCCGGTTTGCTCGTCAATAGTATTGCAATATTGCGGTTATCGCGACAGCCCTAGCGGAAACAGGCTGTTTTAGTCAATTTCTCTTTAAATGCAAATGAGCTGCTGCTCCCCGCCCTCTTTCCCAGAACAGGGCTGTGCAATTTTAGCTCGTATCTCAGATCTCTGCCAAAAGAAATCTGTTTGGTTTTGTTCATCATGTATATCACGCTGAAATCACACGTTTTAAAACCATATCAGTTTAAATTTCTGATATAAATTTTTCTGGATGCACACATCCGAAGCACGCGAACAGAGAGCGGCTGTCACACGCATGTGAGTACTAAAAGTCCTCTTTCACAAACAAGTTTGTGTTAAAAACAAGCTTAAGTTACAAAAACACAGTCGGTTATGTCTGTGAAGTTAAACAGCTGGGAAAAAAATGGAATGTCTATATTAGATTGGTGTATTAAGTGACAGAGGCATAATATACAGTACCTATACAGTCTACGCTGTTGATATGACCCAAACAATAAAATATAAAAGCAGAAAATCACTCACTGCTCTGAACTGAACAACTTCTATAGCTCTAATAAGCAGACGTTTCTTACTTGAATGCTGTAAGATAAACATGGCATATAGTGTGTGTGTGGCTCACTCAGGGTGGGGGTCACGGCTAATACGGCTGTGTCAGTGAACTATCGTGGGCGGGGCTGGTAAAGTGTGATGATTTATGACACTGCTCATGATTTATAAAGATTAAAAAAAAGGAGCTGGTGGATTTTTATTATTATTGGGTGGTTGTGTACACACACTGCCAACACACATTTATGTTCAAACAACATGTAAAAGTGAATTTAGCATAATAGGTGCCCTTTAATAATGAATGAAACTATTTAATGCCAATTTGGTGATTCAATGTATATCCAATTGACCCAATTTGTATTAATAATTTGAATTAATTGCATGTTTAAATATGTTCCCCGAAATACATTTTACTGTGGACGCAGAAGTTTTTTGTAAGTTTAATCTTGGCATTTTCAAATGAAATCTTGACCGTTATTAAAAGGTCTCTCTATCATGCTATTCCTTCTTAGTTGCTTAAATGATTTTGATTCTTTCAGTCTGACTTGTATGTAAGCACATGCACTTTCTCTTTCTCCTGCACTTCATTTATCTTTGTTGGTGTCTGTCTGTGCTCTGGCATCAGGTGCTTATTTTGAGGTCATCTCTACCTGAATGCCATTTCACTCATAGATCAGATCTATTTCTTCAGCCAACACTGCCATGGATAAAAGCCATGTGAGGTTGCCGTGGAAACTGTCAGGGCTGTTATGAATGTTGTCTCTCTGTGAATTGATTCACATTCTTTGTGTCACTCTCAGTTACAATCAGTTGCAAAATTTGAGGGTTGAGACTTATTTATTTATTTAAACTGATTGAATCCTCTGTGTGTCTGACCACATCCAGCCTTGACTATAACCGCAATCTGCATTTACATAGTTCTAGGTAGTTGCATCAAAAGTGGATCTTCATTTTTGTGACTATTGTACAGTAAATGAGAAAACATGGGGACAGACTTGCTGTGGCATTCATTCAACAAATACAAGTTGGCTTTATCAAAAATGTACACTTTGTGTTCACTGTATGATAATATAATTTTTAATGAAAATATATATATTTGCTATGCTTTTCTGATTCTTATTAAAGTGAAAAACCAAGGTTTCTAATCATACTGCTGACCCTGTTGTTTCCTTATTTCAGCTGAGACACCCTCATTCATTATTCATTATGGTTTTTGGAGCTTGGATCCAAATACAGGCTTAAATATACTGAGACAGTGTTCAGCTTCTTCCCCATTTGATCAGATACTCTCAAACAGGATGTGATGGGCTAGAAAACAGTTATTGAGTTTGTACAGCGATTGATTGAGTCAAGTCTGGATCAGCTAGGGAGGAACTGATGTCTCCCTTTTAATTAACCCGCTTGTAGCTTCAGACGATCTGTCAATACAGCCGCCAGCCCTGTGTCTCATTGAACATCACTGTAAGACTGTGTAAATAAGCTCACCCCATTGGGACAAATGGTTTGATATTTGTAATCTGCACAATCAACAATGTCGTTGCATTTGATGTCAGTCCCATGTAACTCACTGCTGGTTTAATTTAGTTGTATGGAGGCAGATCTGTAGTTGGTGCAATGGTAGAGTCGCCTCATGGAAAGTCTGGTCAATTAACTACTGCCCAGCGCTGTGGAGTCTCACACTTTCAAAGCATGAGAATTTGCACCATTTATAAGACCAATGTCTAACCAAGAAATAACAGACATTGAGGCAAACAAGCTCCACTTTTTCATTTACATCCCTCTAGACGCTTATGCACAAACATAATTCTGCTATTAGGCTTTTCAGCTGTAGAAAAAGTGCTACATTGAAAATGTTGCATTAAGGAATAAAAGCATCTCTGAAGATTTTCTCTGGAGAACCATAAAAAGAGGGGGGATATGTCATAGTTGGTCGTGTTGCTCCATCTTCTATAATGAGGCAGGCGGATGAAAGAGACTACCATCTATCACCAGGCTGCAGTATATTCAGAAACTAATCAGTAATTTTGTGATTGTTTTTGTGATTCTAATAGAACACATTTTATGTTGCCTGACTGCTGGGTCAAGAACATTTAATTCAATGTTTTTGCACAGCAAAAACCTCAGTAGCTGTGAAAATGTTTGGTGCTTCTACATTAACGTAGCATATGTGGGAGTTTTAGTTTGCCCTGTGATTTATCTATAGATGTGATTTATACTTTGATGAGTTTTAATTAAGAGAGAGCTATTAAGCATCCAATAAAATGACATCACACTTTGTCTTGATACACTTCTATTGGTTGTCTGTCAGGATAGTTCTTGTGCTAAAAGCCATCTCATTTATCACCGTAATGGTGAATCCCCACCAGCTTTCCATAAATGCAGAACTTTTGGTTGAAATATCTCGTGAGGCATTTTTGCCTTGATAGAAATGTCAGACATTTTCAGCAGATTCTTTCCCAGGGCCTTTCCCTTACAACATCTATTAATGTTGCCAAATAATTTGATGTTATTTGTTTTTTATTCATGCCCACCTACAGCAATATAGCAATCAAACTTAATCGATTTTTTGAGTTCAGTTGAGTTGGCTGTTTGGCATTTCATTCTTTTCTTTATTTTTAGTCTGTGTATAGAATTGATGCCTAGAGAATAATCTATACTCTATTGATTCCTTTGTAGACTCTGTATTATTTGTACATCTGATGTATTACCTTTCTCCTCCTTTCTTCCCTTCCCTGTGATCTTGACCCATCACGGACTTCCCAGTGTGGATATTTGAGCTTTATTGATCGTTTCATCCTCTGAGATCCTATTACCTCTCTCTCTCTCTCTCTCTCTCTCATTTTATCCTTACATTCTTAACTTTAATGCAGATTTTGTATTGATTAATATTAGCTGTCAATCTCTCAGTGACTGCTTTACGGTAACTACCGCGAGAAAAAGAAAGGGCTGAAGAGAGAGAAAATGAAAAAAGACACTGACAGATTTCTTTTGTAAACAACCTAAAGTTAAGCTGCTCTTTGCCGAACTATATGAAATGATGTAAAAGCCCCATATCTTGAATTTTGTGATGCATTTTATTAGACTGAATCATGCCGTGAAAGAATGCACTCTAAATGCGCACGCGCACTAATCTAACCTAATAGACTTCACGTCATGTATGTGTCCACTCTCTGTAGGTGTGCTTTGGTTGGATTTTGCAATATAGTCGATAATGTCAAACCGCACATCGTAAAACAACAATTGCGAAATGTGTAGATTCGGTGGCGAACGCTGTTACCTGCAAACTCCGTCCCACAGGCTTTACAGTGAATGCAGTTTATAGAGCACAGTGCAATTTCATAGCAGAGCCACTCGAAGTCTTTCAACCACTCTCTCCGAAAACTGTAAGCCTTCTATTCGGCTGGTGGATCAACATTCACCACATGATCGCTATCACCAGCCCCA